CGAAGCTTTCCCTGTGGGGGCTAGCCGGATCCCTGGCAGCCGTTGTAGCCAAGGGTCCATTCTTGGAGTCCCTAAATGACGGCACTTGGATTATTGGTAACGATTTCTGGAATGTTACACAAGGTCCGGTCTACGCGACAAAGCTTTTCTGGCAGGGTGTACCTGGAGCAGATCTTGTCGGCTCCGCCGTCGGCCACTACACTGGTTATGGTATGTGATTATCTTCTTGGCCACCAAGTGCCCAAGCCAGAGCTAACGGGGCGGTCAACAGACGGGGAGTCGAATCTCCGTTACACCAATGCGACAATTGCTGCACGCGGTACACACTTTATCGACGTCAGCTTCACTGCGCCCGCTGGAGATCTCCACTGGGTCATCTTTGACGACCTCTCCGGCGCATACCAGTATTTTGTCAACCGTGCCCTGCCAAACATCAGCATTTTGCGAACCCTCTGGCGGCTGGCGCCGGAACACTTCACTCATGGCCGCACTCACCTCAAGGATGAGCCCCTGCCGGATTTCGATCTGTATGCAAAGTCGACCAACGTTCAGGATGAGACCTGGCAGCTTGCAGACGGGTCATACATCACCAAGTACGACTGGTCCAACGCCGTCAGAGACCGTGACTTCTATGGTGTTTACGGATCTCGTGTTGGTTCTTGGTGGATTCATCCATCCACCGAATACTACAACAGTGACCATCTCAGCCAGACACTGACCGTGCATCGCGAGAGCAAGACCGGCGATGCTGTCCAGCTGAACGTCGTGCAAGATACATCGCACTTCCGTGTCGGCCAAAAGACAACTCAGCCCGTGGGCAAGGTCTGGGGCCCCTGGCTTTGGTACCTGGTGAGTGGTCCCACACACTGCTCTCGGTTAACTCAAATTGACTGGGTTAGAACAACGGAAGCATCCCAGATGTCCAGAAGAAGCGTGCCAAGGAACTGAAGCACTTCCCCTACAATGGCTTGACAATTCCGCCTACCGCAGAGGGGCGGCATAGAGGTACTCTGCTACTG